ACTTCTTTACCACCTCTCAGCATCCAACATGATTTCTTTTCCTTTTACTGTGAGATTTCAGTTCCACTACTTATTGAATGTATTGACTTGAACAGGTTACTTCAGCTTGTGTGTTACTTATGCGTCTCCTTTTCCTTATATGTAAAATAATAACAGTACCTACCTAGCACATAGGGCTGTGGTCAGTATTTAATGAGATAAAACCTGGGCACAGTCCATAGTACAGAGCAAACACTCAATTAATTTTAGTTATTTCTCCTCCTCCCTTTCCCATTATTATCATTAAAGTAATTTTTATACTGTAAAATCATAAAAGGAAAAAATAGCACTATTCTGGAAATCTGCTCCAAGAATGAGGAGCAGGATAAGTGCTTGAGTGATAAGTCAAACAGAATCCAGGAAAGAAGGCAGGGCATAAAATGACTGACCATCTACTGACAAGTCTAGATATGATCTGAATAGCAGAAATGTCTTAGCTCAAAAACAAGAATTTATTGGGAGGCCCAGTAGGGGCACAGATAATGAAATGAAGGTGTGAAGGGAAGTCTGCCAAAAGTAGCTGTAGGACAGACCTGGGTAGGATGAAAACGGGGTTCTCAGGAGAGTGGGTAGTGGGACAGGACCTAAATATGAATGTAGACTAACAAGTAAAGAAACAAATCTTTATGTGACAGTATAAGCACTATAAATGTTTCTGAGAAATGACTGAGAAAGATGCAATAGCACTTCTATGACATTCCTTCCCAAAATGAAGAACGTGAGTCTAATCATGCAGAAACAGACAAGCCAAAATTGAGGAGTATTCTGTAAAATAATTGGCCTACCTGCTTCAAAAATGTCAAAGTCATGAGAGACAAAGAAAGGATGGAGAATTTTCCAGAATATAAGAGACAAAAGGGACATGACAATTAAATGCAGTACATGATTCTAGACTAGATAGTAGACTAGAAAAAAAATTTTTTTTCATTTGCTATAAAGGAGACTACTGGGAAAACTGGCA